CTCTGAGAAGATGTGAACATCTGGATCTCAGGCCTTCTGAGAATTGGGGAGTAGGATGACCAACCTTGCACAGGTTTCACACATTTCACTATCCATGTATGTGGCCTTCCCAAGCTCAGTTCCCAATTGTAGTCACACCCACCTGTTTACTTTCAGGATCCTCTCAGCTTTTCCTGTGAGCTGCCAGACTCAAAGGGAAAACAAGCCCCCTCATATTCCTAACCTGATTTTTCCTAGGCATAAGGCATTCTGCCTGTTTCAGTCACACTCTGCTAGGCACACCCTAGGCTATGCAGTATGAAATTGCCATGACAGTATGACAGTATTTGCTATGATCTTCTGGGCTCCCACAGCAGCAAGCTGCAGTGTGGCTTCTTTAAGATGACTCCCTGTCTCAGCTCTCTACTTGCCAGTTGAAAAACAGGGAGCACTTTTCAAATACCAGCTTGCTGTGTAGCCTCTGATTCACCTAAGTTCAAACTGGTTTTTCTTCTACACATTTTCCCTTGGCAGATTTGTCTGCTGTGTCTTTCTCTCCCTGTTTGTGTTGCATTTCTTTGCAGTGAACTGGCACCACTGCTGCCATTGGGTTCACTCCAATGTACTCTTTCTGGTTTTCTTTTTGTAGCACTTGCATTTCTGGGTCTTTATGCTTCTCTATCCATTATTGAATTTCAGTGAGTTTCTTCATCACCCACCTTACTGAGAAGTACTACTTCCACTGCATAAATCTCAAGACAGAGTGACTGGATTATATGGGCTTCCTCTAATCCACCATCTTTGATCTCCCTAACTCTGCATCTGTGGAGTAGCTTAGAATTTAGCAAAAAAAAGCTAAACATACTTGTTTTGTTTCATTTGATACATTTTCCTTTTTTTTTTTAAATTTTTATTGTTGGTTGTTCAAAACATTACATAGTTCTTGATATATCATATTTCACACTTTGATTCAAGTGGGTTATGAACTCCCATTTTTACCCCATATACAGATTGCAGAATCACATCAGTTACACATCCATTGATTTACATAATGCCATACTGGTGTCTGTTGTATTCTGCTGCCTTTCCAATCCTCTACTATCCCCCCTCCCCTCCCCTCCCCTCCCCTCTTCTCTCTCTACCCCCTCTACTGTCATTCATTTCTCCCCCTTGTATTATTTTTCCCTTTCCCCTCACTTCCTCTTGTATGTAATTTTGTATAACCCTGAGGGTCTCCTTCCATTTCCATGCAATTTCCCTTCTCTCTCCCTTTCCCTCCCACCTCTCATCCCTGTTTAATGTTAATCTTCTTCTCATGCTCTTCGTCCCTACTCTGTTCTTAGTTACTCTCCTTATATCAAAGAAGACATTTGGCATTTGTTTTTTAGGGATTGGCTAGCTTCACTTAGCATAATCTGCTCTAATGCCATCCATTTCCCTGCAAATTCTATGATTTTGTCATTTTTTAATGCAGAGTAATACTTCATTGTGTATAAATGCCACATTTTTTTTATCCATTCATCTATTGAAGGGCATCTAGGTTGGTTCCACAGTCTTGCTATTGTGAATTGTGTTGCTATGAACATCGATGTAGCAGTGTCCCTGTAGCATGCTCTTTTTTGGTCTTTAGGGAATAGACCGAGAAGGGGAATAGCTGGGTCAAATGGTGGTTCCATTCCCAGCTTTCCAAGAAATCTCCATACTGCTTTCCAAATTGGCTGCACCAATTTGCAGTCCCACCAGCAATGTACAAGTGTACCCTTTTCCCCACATCCTCGCCAGCACTTGTTGCTGTTTGACTTCATAATGGCTGCCAATCTTACTGGAGTGAGATGGTATCTTAGGGTGGTTTTGATTTGCATTTCTCTGACTGCTAGAGATGGTGAGCATTTTTGATTCATCCCTGGGATGCAAGGCTGGTTCAATATACGGAAATCAATAAATGTTATTCACCACATCAATAGACTTAAAAATAAGAACCATATGATCATTTCGATAGATGCGGAAAAAGCATTCAACAAAGTACAGCATCCCTGTATGTTCAAAACTCTAGAAAAAACAGGGATAACAGGAACATACCTCAATATTGTAAAAGCTATCTATGCTAAGCCTCAGGCTAGCATCATTCTGAATGGAGAAAAATTGAAGGCATTCCCTCTAAAATCTGGAACAAGACAGGGATGCCCTCTCTCACCACTTCTGTTCAACATAGTTCTCGAAACACTGGCCAGAGCAATTAGACAGACGAAAGAAATTAAAGGCATCAAAATAGGAAAAGAAGAACTTAAATTATCACTATTTGCAGGTGACATGATTCTATACGTAGCAGACACAAAAGGCTCTACAAAGAAACTATTAGAGCTAATAAATGAATTCAGCAAAGTGGCAGGATATAAAATCAACACGCATAAATCAAAGGCATTCCTGTATATCAGTGACAAATCCTCTGAAATGGAAATGAGGACAACCACTCAATTCACAATATCTTCAAAAAAAATAAAATACTTGGGAATCAACCTAACAAAAGAGGTGAAAGACTTATACAATGAAAACTACAGAACCCTAAAGAGAGAAATAGAAGAAGATCTTAGAAGATGGAAAAATATACCCTGTTCATGGATAGGCAGAACTAACATCATCAAAATGGCGATATTACCAAAAGTTCTCTATAGGTTTAATGCAATGCCAATCAAAATCCCAACGGCATTTCTTGTAGAAATAGATAAAGCAATCATGAAGTTCATATGGAAAAATAAAAGACCCAGAATAGCAAAAACAAAGCTAAGCAGGAAGTGTGAATCAGGTGGTATGGCGATACCAGACTTCAAACTATACTATAGAGCAATAGTAACAAAAACAGCATGGTACTGGTACCAAAACAGGCGGGGGACCAATGGTACAGAATAGAGGACACAGAAACCAATCCACAAAACTACAACTATCTTATATTTGATAAAGGGGCTAAAAGCATGCAATGGAGGAAGGATAGCATCTTCATTTGATACATTTTCCTAAAAATAAATTAATAAATAAAAAAGTTTTAATTAAAAGAAGTTTTTGATGAAGCAATAAAAATTACTGGTTTTATTAAATTTTGGTCCTCATCAGTATTTTGTGACAAGATAGGAAAGAAGTTTTCTTACAATTGAGCTGTGAACTAAACAAACTGCTTTAAGGAACACCAATTTTATTTGAAAAGATGACCAGCAAACAAACTGGTTATTCAGACTTGGTTATTTGGCAGAAGTTTTCTCAAAAATAAACAAAGCAAACTTACCATACTATCAAACAACTGGTAGTATTTGGGGGTACTAATAAAATTTGAATTTTCAAATGAATATTAAAATTTTGGAAAACTTCTACCTGCCATCATCAGGAAGTTTAGTAACTTCCCTTTACTGAAAAGGCTTTTCCAGTGAGATTGGTAGTGATACAATGACTGTGATTTGTTGAAACTGAATAATGAAGTATGTCAGCATTTAGGATATTTTTCCACCTGATGAATATGTAAACATATTTAATATCATTTCTTTAATTATATTGTAAGTTCAAAGCCCCAAAATTCTTACATTTTCATGCATTTTTTAAAGCATGCTATAAAATTGTGTGAGTAGAAGAGTTATTCAAAATACAAGACAGACTAATAGATTTCAAAATAACAAAGGACAAAAAGTTCATTACTATGGCGTCAGATTCTAACATTGCATCTAACCTTTAAAAAATTGCCATTTTAATAGAAGTGTGTAATATCAAAAAAGAATATCCACCATTATCTGTAAAGCAATTAAAATATTTTTCCCATTTTCAGCTGCATATCTGGGTGAGGCCGGATTTTCATCTAAAATAATTCAACTAAAATAACATTTATAACAGATTGAATGCAAAAGCAGTATCATTTGTCATTTATTAAACAGGAGTTCCAAAATTGTTGTTAAATGCCACTCTTCTCACAAGAATGTTTTTAATACCATTCTAAAAAGTTATCTTTTCAGATGAATTGAAATATACTTATAAGTTTTGAGTGTTAATTTCTAAGATAGTAAGTATTATTACATGGCATCATTCGATGTAAAATTTAACCATATATTCATACATTGCTGTATGTCATTTCTTAGCTGATGAATATGAAAACCTATTTAATATCATTTCTTTAATTATATTGTAAGTTCAAAGCCCAGAAATTCTTAAGTTTTCATGCATTTTTTAAACCTCAATCTAGTACAGTGATATATGCACAGAGGTGGCACATTAAAATGGATTTTTGTTGAATAAAACTAATCCTAATCTTCCTTCTTAGACACTATAGAATTTGAGTTGAAAGGGCTGTTGGCCACCAATCTAGTTCGGCCATTTTATTTCTGGATGAAGCAGCAGAGGTCTGGAGAAGCGATGTGTCTTATCCAAGGGCAATCCACTTTAGTCAATATGAAATTGAATCTTGAGTCCTAGGTCTTACCAGTGTATCCCCCCCCTTTTTTAACACATTTATTAAGCATTAACTAAAAAGGAATTGAGACATAAAATTCCATTAAAATAAGGCAAACCGATCTTGGGTCTTAGATCATTGTTGTTATAAGTCATATAACAAATTTTCAGGTATGTTCCTGTGTTTTTCAAATGAAAGATTCATATATATATTTGTAAAACAGCTTGTGGGGCTGGGGTTGTAGCTCAGTGGTAGAGCACTTGCCTAGCATGTGTGAGGCACTAGGTTTGATTCTCAGCACCACACATAAAATAAAGGTCCATAGACAACTAAAAATAATAATTTTTAAAAAACCAGCTTGTGCCAGCAAAGCTGTTAATATTCAACAGATATAAAAATTTGATCAGGATTATTTTCCTGAGTTTGTTTGGAAAGTTGAGTCATCTTTAAGAAGCATATAGTGGTTTCAGTTATAGTTCAGTATTTGTATGGGTTTTTTTTTAGAATGAATTGAGGGGCTTTTACCATTTGCCAACAGTCATGATTTTGATTAACTTCTTCATTAGATTGTTTACCATTATCACTTTCTCTGCAGGGTCCAAATGCCAAGCCTGTAGTGTCCTTCATTGCTGGTTTAACTGCTCCCCCGGGCAGGAGAATGGGTCACGCAGGAGCAATTATTGCTGGAGGAAAAGGTGGAGCTAAAGAGAAGATTGCTGCCCTTCAGAGTGCAGGAGTTGTAGTCAGCATGTCTCCTGCACAACTGGGCACCACCATTTACAAGGTGAGTACTGATAATGGCCCAAGTGCTCTGAAGTTATGGGACTCCTCAGTGTGGGACGACACTGGATGCCTGGAAATCATGGTCTTTTCTTCTGGGTCTTAATTTTTTATTTCATTCTGATTGCACTCTATTAATGTTCTTATCCCCTAAGTAAGAAACTTTCTCATTTAAAAATTGGTCTTCTTTAAATATTGGGATATGCTGTTCTATAAACAATAAGATATGACATGCAAAAATGACATTTTGGAGGCCATAGTGCCATGATTTCTTCATTCCCATGATTTTGGGAATGGAGAGAGTGTGTGTAGAAAACTGCCTTATGTTTCTTCTTCTTTTCCCCTGAAGGAGAGCCTTTAGGTTATAGTCACCTGACCCCATATTGTTTTATTGTTTCTGTTTCCAAGGAGAGGGGCTGAAGGCTGAGTAACAAGAAACTAAAACTATAAAGAGGGAGTTGGGGTAGAGGGAAGTCTAAAGAGGAGAGTGGGGAGACTCAGGTTCTCATTTCTGGCCTTGATGTTCTGTGATGCCATGTCACTTATGGGTTGGAGGAATAACATTTAAACCATTTTCTTTGCTTTTCCTTTTTAATACCATATTATGATTAAAGTATTATAAATGATCTTTTGTTTTCCATAATCTCTATAGTGATTATTAGCTTGTTTCTTTGAGTGATCATTTAAGGCTTCTCTACCTCTTTTTTTGTCAGGACTATAGCTTTGACAAAAAAACAAAAACCCTATTTTTCAAGCATGGTGAAAACAAGAAAAATTGTTTTCCCAGAAGGGAACAATATTCAGATAGAGTTTAAAAATCCTGACTATATGTAATCTTCTTTGCTCTTGTCTTAGAGATAATTTTATGAACTACTTGTGTATTGAATTTTTTCATATCCTATCGTTTGGAATATAACACTATGTGCCATAGTGTTTGAAATCAGTCTGGGTGAGTAATAAAGTGTGGGAAGAATTCTTTTTGAAAGTGGAGGAAAAGGAGAAAAATAAATGTTTAAATTCACATTGGAGATGTGTGTTACCATTTTGCTCCAGTAAGTGGCAGCAGGCATCTACACATTTTATCTGGTGCTATTTGTTACAATCTAGAAAAATGTAATTTTCAGTATTGTTTCCTTAAACAAAGTCTTATTTAAGGTATTCTTCTGTTTTAAGTGTTTCTAATGTTTTTGACACTTTGTTCCAATTCTAACTGAATCTTTACTTAATTTTCTTCTGTGAGAAAGTAAGCAAATCTGTTTCCATAGCCTTAGTAAAAGGCCTGTTGTGGTTTGGATAAACACAACAAAGTTTGTCCCCTCCTAATAATAACACTCCAGTGAAAAAATAAGTATTATTTATAGCCTCTCTCTAGCTTCTGAGTTGAGAGACATAAAGTTGAAGCTCTGCATATAGCTTAATTAGATTTAAGCTGACATAGACTGATTTGAAAGCTGTTATTTTGTGTTAAGCACCCTCGTTCTGGTATATTTTAATTCTTGTAATTTGGTTCTTCAAAGGATCTTAAAGATAATAGGTTTGAGAATCATTTTGACCAAGAATGTAATTTGGATCTTTTATGTTTTTATCTCCCCTCTCTCCTCCTTTTCTTCTGTTTCTGAAGGAATTTGAAAAGAGGAAGATGCTATGAAAGGAACAAAAACAAAAAGGTCCTAAAACTGTGGAATGAATCATGTAGACTTGTGAACCATCAGCAGTTTACTTCTGTTGTCCACTGATTGTCAGCCTTTGTGCCTGGCCCTGGTCTTTCAGCATAACAGGAAGCCAAAGTTAAGTTTAGAATATCCTAAATTGAGATATTTTCACCTATTGTATAACAGAGATGGCCAATAAATCTACCATTTGATTTGAATATGATTTTGGAGACTTGTTATTATTCCATTGTGGCGCGGGCCAGGGAGGAGATGAGAGACAGTAGGAGAAATGCAATAATACATGTTTGTGTGTTTAAATGGGCCATGTAGAGAACATTGTAACTAAAACTTGAGAGAATAAGATTGCAATATATTCAGTATGACATTTGTCGAACTATCGATAGAATGACCTTAGGTCTCTTTTGAATTTATAGTTTTCTCATATGCATTTGTAGGTCTCCATCTTGCAGGGTAGTTCAGAGAGAAGTATATAAAGTCCCAGGCATGTAATAATACCACCATTACTGTCACCATGATTGTCTTCAGGATTATAGGCAGAAACCTATAATCATCTGTGTTTTAGTTTTTGCCTAGTTAGGAAACTTTACCTAGTTGAGAAACAAAGTGTCTTCACTAATGCCATGCTTTTCTGTGATTCTGCAGAAAGCCATCCCCTTCCCCTTCCAGAGGCTTTATTCTTTGTTTATGGTTTAGGACATTTCACTGCAAGAAAGCAGGCGAACTGTTAGCCTTCCTGCTTTGTGTTTAAAAGGGACAAGAAGCAATTCCAACGGGTAATTGTCACTAAACAGACAGGGTGCCTGTCCATAGGAACATATATTCTGGAGAGGGAGAGACACAAAATATTCTCAAATTATATAACTGCTCTGAAGAAAACAAACAAGAACTTAGGTATTAAGTTTCCTTAGAAACTTGAGGAAAGACTAACTGGGGAGCCTTCCTCGGGGAGAGGATCTGAGGGCTGTGAAGGCATCAGACATGGAAAAGGGAAGATGAACAACAGGTAAGGGGAACCAACCATCAGTACAAAGGCAGGGAAAGAAGAGCTCATTTTCAGGAGATGAAGAAACATCAGGTGTACTGGGAGGAGTTAGAGGAAGTTTGTGGGGTCTTGGGGAAACCCATTCTGAGAACTCACATGACCTTGTGGTGCCCAGGCTGCTAGAGAGGTTACAAAGAACAGGTGTCAGGAGTAGATTCACAGCCCAAGAGATTCTGCCCTTCTGTGGATACATAGTCATTGACTTTGGAATTGATTAAACTGGCTCCTGCTTATAGCTGTTTCTTCATCTTGGAAACAAGGATAATGACATCCCACAGGGTACCTGGGTAAAATATATAAAGTGGGGTGTGCTCGTTGAATAGTGGGCTTATGTTTTTATCTCCTCTCTCTCCTCCATGTCCCCTGCTGTCCTAAGGACAACCTAGGCTGGCACTGCCTGCCAGGGAGGAAGATGCTTCATTTCTGTGTCACTTTGAACTCAAGGTCCCTATAAAACAAATGTTCTTTTGTCTAACTAAACTGTAGCTTTGTGATGGACACAATTCAGATAAGGAAGAGGTGGACCTGTCTTAACTTGGGAGGCTCTAACATAATACTATAAACTGGATGGCTTAGGCAACAGACATCTATTTCTCACAATTCTGGAGTCTGGGAAGTCCAAGATATCAGGAATAGGCCCCTCCTTGGTTTACAGAAGCCATCTTGTCATGTCCTTAGATAGTGAAAAGAGCTCACTAGCTTTCTGGTCTCCAAGCTCACTTATCCCATTCATATGACTTAATTATGTCCTAAAGACCCTACCTGTAATTAATTACCTCTAATTTTAACAAATGGATTGAGGGGGGCGGGCGCAGAGTTGTGGGGTGGTATAAACATTCAGTCCATTGAATAATCCTGACAGGAGTGATCTTTTTCAGGGTCCACCTCAGCCATGAGTTTTTCCAGGCCTGACTAGGAAAGTCAACACCCTGCCCTATACCCTAAAAATCCATCCCAAGACAACTTCTCTGTCCTCACTCCTCTGCTTCTTTTGGATAAATCAAGGAACTTAGTGGCCTCATGACCTTTCCATTTCTTTCAACCCCTGCCTTCATTTGTTCCATTCTCTTTCATTTTCCTACCTACACTCATCGCCCCTCCCAGGATCTTGTGGAGACATCCCCTCCTGACCACCTCTTCCCTCTTCCCTCCTACAATCATCACCACTTCCTTTCAGCAGCTCAAATAACAGGCAGGGTATTTAGTTCTAGTTTTTCCTATTTCAGTTTTACAAACAAAAAGTGAAAGTACAATTCATTACTTCAGTCAGTTTTAAAACCTCCTTAAGGAAACTTTCAAACACATGAAATAAAGAGTATAATTGAGGGCTGGGGATGTGGCTCAAGCGATAGCGCGCTCGCCTGGCGTGCGTGCGGCCCAGGTTCGATCCTCAGCACCACATACAAAACGAAGATGTTGTATCCGCCGATAACTAAAAAATAAATATTAAAATTAAAAAAAAAAAAAGATTACTAAAGAGTATAATTGGGGTTAGGGATGTAGCTCAATGGTAAAATGCTTGCCTGGCATGTGGGAGGCTCTGGGTTTGGTCCCCAATACCACCAAAAAAAAAAAAAAAAGTATAATACATTCATGATCTAGCTTTGGAAATTTTCAACACATTGCCTTTATTGTATGATCTGTATTTCCAGTCTGACTCCCTTAGTGATGTTATTAGAGTTGCTTAGTTGAATTAAAATTTACATACATTGAAATGTATAAATCTCAGCTCTACATATTTGACAAATGGAATAACCAATGCAACCATGTCTTTCTCCTGGTATAGAACATGTCTGTCATCTCAGAAAATTCCATTTTATCCCAAACACTTTCCCCCCATAGGTGATCATTACTATATTTTTACTCACCTTTAAGTGATTTGCATCTATTCTAGAAATTTATTCAAAGGAAATCATAAGTTGTTTGGCTTCTTTTACTCAGCATAATTTCTTAAACATACATGCCATTGCTTGTCTAAGTAATCCATTCCTTTTTGTTGCTGAGTATTATTCCATTGTATGAATATGCCACATTTTCTTTATCCATTATCCAGTTCTTGGCCTTTTGTGTTATTTATAGCTTTTTGTTTTTATTTATAAATAAAACTGCTCTGAACCATTATGTTTGTGAACATAAATTTTCTTTTTTTCCTGGTGAGCTACCTAGGAGTTGAATTGCTGGATATAATGGCATGCATATATTGAATTACCTTTTTTAAAAAACTGGTTGTACCTTTTCACATTCTATCCCAGGAAGATACAAAAGTATGGTTTTCTTCATCTGGTGTTTTATGGTCTTTTGATTTTTTTAGCCATTCTAGTGGGAGTTTGAGTGACATCACGTTTTAAATTAGTATTTCCTTGAAGAATAATGATGCGGAGCACTTTCTAATGTATTTCTTCCCCTAGAGTGTCTTTTCAAATCTTTGGCCCAATTTGTATTACTTTATGTTTTTAACCACTGAGTTTTAACAATTCTTTATGTATTCTGGTCATGAGACTTAGATATATACTTTATGAATATTCACATTTCTACAGGTTACCCCCTTATTACCTGACTGTGTCTTGATGAACTGAAGTTTTCAATTTGACAAAGAATAAAAATCATTTTTTTATTTATAGCTTTCTTATTATACATAATGTTTTTCTATCCCAAGTTCATGATGATAGTTTTCTGCTTTCTTGTAAAATTTTATTACTTGCTATTTAAGAGTCTATACATTTAGCTCCTATCACCTTTTATTTAATTTTTTGTGAGTGGTATGAGGTTGTGTTCTTTGGGTTTCTTTCCTTATTGATAAGATATTAAGTGGGTCTTGCAATGTTTGTTAAAAATTCCTTTTATTGCCCATAAATTGCTTTCATTTATGTAGAAAGATCAGTTGACCAAATATGTGTGGGTCTGTTTCTAAACTGTTTTCTATTAGGTCTTTTGTATTGCCATATAAATTTTGAAATAAACTTGTCAATTCCTATAAGATTATGATTGTGATTGAACTGAATTTTAGTTTGGGAAGAGTTGTCATTTAACAATTGAGTCTTTTGTGTTCCAGTTTTGGGTTGCAAAAATATACAAATGTAAATTGATTTTTGTACACTAACTGTGTACTCTAAAATTTTGCTGAATACATTCATTAATTTTAAAAAATAAGTTCTTTAGGACTTTTTTTTCTATAAAAATTTATATCATCTATGAATAGGATACATCTTGTTTCTTTTATAATCTTCATACCTGTTTTAAAGATTGATAGATTATGGTAGCACAAGGATGTTCATAGTTGTCCCTTATCAAATGGGAAAATTCACTAGTTTGAAATGTACTTTGTGACAGTTTTTATTGCAAATTCAATTTCTTTGGTAGATTAGGGGCCTCCAAGATTTCCTATTGGACATGGTATATATATATATATATATATATATATATATATTAGTTTGTTTTGTAAAGTTTTTATCATCTACTACACATTGGGGAGGGCCCTTAGACAACAGTTTCAAACTCAGTAATCTCTCCCTTGTTGTTCCTCTCTCACAGGGAATCTGTTGTATCTTCTACATAACTTTGGTCACTATGCAGTATTTTCAGGTTACTGTTTTCTTAGGGAATAATTTTTCCAGGTTCAGTAATTATTATCTTCAGCTATCAAACTATTCCATCATTGCTGGAAGCTGGAACTCCTCCACTGAATCTTTTTCTTTTTTTTAAGAAATGACTTTATTTTTTTATTGATTTTAAAAAAAATGACAGTGGAATGCATTACAATTCTTATTACACATATACAGCACAATTTTTCATATCTCTGGTTGTATATAAAGTCTCTCTTCATAGAACTGAAATGGGCCCTCTTTTCCAGACCTCTCATTCCTGCCCTGGAATGGAATAGTAATGAACAGGGTGAGGCACATCATTCTCAGAGATACTCAGATTTGTGGATATCTGGGTTTCACCCCGTTCTGTGATCATCACATGCAATGGCTTTGTGATACTTCACATCATGGTTCAAGTCCAAGGCCGTTTGAAGTGATTTCCGTGGTCCATAGCTCTCTTGGCCACTTGGCCTGGTGTTATAATGCTGATGTTTTACTACTTTGAACTTCTCACACATTTTGCCTTCTCCTAGGGTCCAAACACCCCAAACAGAACATAACCTCTTCTCCTTGCAT